GGACTTCCAAGATGCCATCTCTGCGTCCATGGCTGCCTGCCACTGAGAGGAGTAGGGACCCGCGACCGCCTCAGCGTACGAGCGCGGGGTGGGGATGTCTAGTGCATCCGGGTCTCCCTCAGGGGCAAGCAGCATGGTCACGAGATGAGGCGCAGCGGCTGCAAGACACTCAAGGTCCTCGTGCCTGTCCTCAAGGACGTCCGTGCTAAGAGCACACTCACCCCCGACGGACGGAGGACAGACAGACTCAGACTCAGCGACAAGACTAGCAGCGTAGTCTAGACGACAGGCAGCAGCAAAGTCAACAAGCTCAGCAACCAAAGCTGTCGCAGCAGCAGACTCAAACGAGGGGTCAGTGACAACAGTGGCGAGCAGACGCGTGACAGTAGGGTGCTCAGCACGAAACCGGTCAGACTCAGGGTCCGGAACGTGAGGCAAGGAAGACGCAGGAGGAGACGGCAGAGAAACAGACTGCGGAACAGAGGAAGGACGACGGACGACAAGGTGTGCGGTGGGGACAGGCGGCGAACGCGGACGCGGAACACGACGACCGGTACGACTAGGACGAACAGGCGAGACAGGACGCGACGCAGGCTCACGACGCTCAGCAAGACTACCCGTCCGCTCAGTGTAAGGAGAAGGAGCAGGCAGCGGTGAGCCAGGCTGTAACGGAAGACCAGTAGACGACGGGAGAGTAAGAACCTGACGAAGAACAGAGTCAGGCGGCGGCAGAGACGACGGAGACGGCGGAGCGAAGAACAGTCGTGGCGGCGCAGCTGCACCAGAACCGGCAGCTCCAGCAGCTCCAGTACCCCCAGCAGCTCCAGCACCTCCAGCAGCTCCAGAAGCTCCAGCAGCAGAACCGACACCTCCAGGCCCAGGGTCTCCAACCCCAGTGCCTCCAGCAGCAGCACCCCCAGAACCAGTACCTCCAGTCCCAGGGTCTCCAGCCTCCACGTCTCCAGCAGCAGCACCCCCAGAACCAGCACCTCCAGTCCCAGGGTCTCCAGCCTCCACGTCTCCAGCAGCAGCACCTCCAGACGCAGCACCCCCAGCCCCAGCAGCTCCAGTACCTCCAGTACGAGCACCTCCGGGACCAGCGACTCCAGCACCTCCAGTAGAAACAGTACCAGCACCACTCCTAGCGCCAGGGACGGCAGCAGAAGTACCTCCAGCAGTAGAGCCCCGGGCTCCAGCAGCGCGACCCTGACGGCGACCGTACCAGTCGTGCAGCTGCTGCGAGGTGAGAGGCACACGTGGACGAAGGCGGCTACTCCAAGGAGACCGCGCAACAGCAGACTCTGAACCCTCAGCGCCAGCACCCTCAGCAGCTCCAGCGCCACCAGCACCAGGACCTCCAGCAGCTCCAGAACCTCCAGCGCTAGCACCCTCAGCAGCCCCAGAACCACCAGCTCCAGCACCTCCAGACCCTACACCCTCAAGCTCCGCACCCCCAGGCTCCGCACCCCCAGGCTCAGCACCCCCAGACTCAGCACCCCCAGAAGTAGCACCCCGAGCAGGACCACCCCCAGCAGGACCAGAGTCACCAGTGACCTCAACCGGCGCAGGGAAGGGAGGAGGGTCTACCTGAGACACACCTGAGGGAGCAGGACCTGGAGCGGGGAGAGGGTCGACCTGGGGAGCACCTGGAGCGAGGAAGAGCGGCGGGGGAGGGAGAGGGGCAGTGCGGTAGGGGAAGAGACGGTAAAAGGGAACCGACTCGTCGAACGTGACGTCCTGAGACGCAAAGACACGGCGCGAGGTGGGGTGGTAAAACTGCCAACCAGGCGCGTCAGGGACAAAGCCAAGGAAGACACAGGGAACTGCACGAGCGGAGAGCTTGTCCGCGGTGGTATCGCGGACAAAGGCACGAGCACCTCAGACCCGGAAACGCGACGCATCGCCAACCTTCCCCGTCCACAGCAGTGTGGGCGAGGTCTCCGGCAAGGAGACACGGGGCCAGAGGTTGAGCTGATGCGTGGCGTACCGGACCGCAAACGGCCACAGAAAATGGGGGGCAGCCGCATGGATCATGGAGGTACGAGCGACCTCCATGACTAAGCCAATGCGGCGCTCAGCAACCCCATTCTGCTGCGGAGAGTCCGGAAGCGTGAACGACTGGGTGATGCCGTGCTCCGCACAGAAGGCTGCCAAGAGGTCGGAGGAGAACTCACCACCTCTGTCAGAGTGCAGACGCAGGACGGGAAACTCCGTCCCGAACCGCTCGCGGAGCTGGAGACGGGCAGCGCGGATCCAAGGGATCAAAACAGCAGGGACCTCCCCCTTGCTGCGCAGGGGAAAGACCGTGGTGTAACGCGTGTAGTCGTCAACAACCAGCAGGAAGTACCGCTCGTGGCCCTGTCCACGGACGCGGGCTGGGCCCCACACGTCCAGGTGGAGAGTCTGCAGGGGAGCCTCTGTGGGAGGGAACGAGGAGGATTGAGGAGCGGCGCGCTGCCGCCCCTCGACGCAAGGAATGCAGGGCGGCGCAAGCGAGGGAGGCAGGGCAGGCAAAGACCTGGGCAGACCAGAAACCAGGAAGCGAGAGTGCATGCCACGAAGGCGCTGCACCGAGGGGTGACCAAGGCGGTGGTGCCACAGGAGGGTCTGGTGCGACAAAGCGCGACACTCGCAGGGGGCCGTCGGCTGACCGGACGCAGACGCAGACGCAGCTACCTGAGCGGACGCAGTGGTCAGGGTGTACAGACTCGAGCCAGGCGCACGGGAAAACGTGGCCAGGTGTCGGCCGGTCCGAGCACACGTACAGTGAGTCACCCGCTGACTCGCAGGAGTGAACTGGTGCACCCCCTGATCCTGGAGGTCAGCTCCACTCACCAAGTTCGTAGAGAACGAGGGGAGGTAAAGACCTGACAGCAAGCCAGACGGGGCGGCCGGACACGGCAGAACCGTGGAGTAGTGGGCAAGGACTGGACCCCCAGAGGGGTCCGCCAGGGAGACTGCAACCGGCCGACTAAGCGGCGTGAGTGTGGTGCAGTCGCGAAAGAAGGAGCGGGAAGCACCTGAGTCAAGCGTGAAGGTGTACAAGGCCGCAGCAGACACAGAACTAGAGAGAGCAGACCCACCAGCACCTGGAGCAGGAGACGTACCGGCACCTAGAGCAGCAGCCTCACCAGCACCCAGAGGAGGAGACGCACGAGCACCTAGGGCAGCAGCCTCACCAGTACCGGGAGCAGCAGGTGCTATACCAGGGTCAGGCGGGACGCACAGGTAACAGGCACGGTCAACACTAGTAGGCAATGCATACATGGCAGTGAGAATAGCATCATAGTCAGGAGCAAAGATATCTACCCTCTGTCCAAGCAGCTCCAGCCAGTCGGGGAGCTCAGCCTCGTCGCCAAACACTGTACGCCAGTCGTCGCTCAGACGGGCGAAGCAGCGGGACTGTGTGTGACCAAGCGTCCCGCAAGGCTGACCAGTCCTATCACCTGTGCGAAGGACGTACTGGCAGCGAACTGTACGCGTAGACCTGCTACACTGAGCGTACCACTCGTGGAGCTGCCGGGACGTAAGTGTCTCGCGTGGACGCCGCTGCAGCTGCAGCTGGCCACTGCCAGTCGCTCCCAACTGACCAGCTCCAGGGGGACAGCTACGACTGCTACCGCGACAACCCCAGCTAGTATACCACTCACTAAGCTGCTGGGGCGTGAGAGACTCACGTGAACGTCGCTGGGGCTGCATCTGGCCACCGGCCAGTAGCAGTAGCAGCAGCAGTAGCGCGGGCAGGGCAGGCGCGGCAGGCCGACAGGCAGGCAGGCCGGCAGGCAGGCAGGCAGGCAAGCAGGCAGGCAGGCAGGCCAGCAGGCAGGCAGGCAGGCCGGTAGGTAGGCAGGCAGGCAGGCAGGCAGGCAGGCCGGCAGGCAGGCAGGCCGGCAGGCAGGCAAGCAGACAGGCAGGCCGGCAGGCTGGCAGGCAGGCAGACAGGCAGGCCGGCAGGCAGGCAGGCAGGCAGGCAGGCAGGCAGGCCGGCAGGCAGGCAAGCAGACAGGCAGGCCGGCAGGCAGGCAGACAGGCAGGCAGGCCGGCAGGCAGGCAAGCAGACAGGCAGGCCGGCAGGCAGGCAGGCAGGCAGGCGCTCACCAAAGGCTGGAAGAGCAGGCGCTCGCCGGGCGAGCAGGGCCGGCGCTCAACGGGCGGCGGCCGAGTAGGCGCACGACAGCGGCGACGTCGGGGCCGCAACACCCGGTGCAGAGTAGGGCCGAAGCAGCTGCAGGGCGGGGCCGCTTCAGCGGCAGGTCGGGGCCGTGGCAGCTGCAGAGCGGGGCCGTATCAGCGGCAGGTCGGGGCCGAGGCAGAGGGACGCGCGCGGCTCGGCGCGGGCTGCGCTGACAGCGCGCTGGGCTGCTGCAGGCCGCGCGCGGCCGCGTTAGGCAGTGGCGAGCCGCGCGCGGCTCGGCGCGGGCTGCTGCGAGCCGCGCACGGGCTGCTGCGGGCGGCGCGCGGGCCTCGCGAGGCAGGAGTAGGCCCGCGCGCGGCGCTACGGTGCGGCAGCTGCGGGCTGCGCGCGGCTGCAGCGGGCTGCGCGCGGCTCGGTGCGGGCTGCGCGCGGCTGCAGCGGGCTGCGCGCGGCTCGGTGCGGGCTGCGCGCGGCTGCAGCGGGCTGCGCGCGGCTCGGTGCGGGCTGCGCGCGGCTGCAGCGGGCTGCGCGCGGCTCTGTGCGGGCTGCGCGCGGCTGCAGGGGGCTGCGCGCGGCTCTGTGCGGGCTGCACGGGCTCGGTGGGGGCAGCTCGCGGTAGCAACGGGCTGCGCGCGGCTCGGTGCGGGCTGCGCAGGCCTGGAGGGCGTGTAGGGGCGGCGCGCGGGCCTTACGGGCCTTTAGGGGCAGCGCGCTGGCCTAGGGCAGCAGGAGGCAGCGCTAGGGCTGCTGGACGGCTCGCGTAGTGCAGCACGTCACAAGGCAAGGCAAGGCAGGCAGGTACGTGGGGTAGCGCGGTAACCGCAGTGGTAGGTGGGCCCGAAAAAAAAAAACGGTCCTACGGACCTTAGTGCTCTGAAACCATGTTAGAATCTGACAGCAGGAATGAGATGCATTGATGAAGTGTTGGGTACATAAGCTAACCCTAACATTGGGTTGTACCCCATATGGGCTACCCCACTAGCAGCCTACACAAACACAATATGCATAGTTTGACAATGGCTGCTTGCATGCGTGGCTCACCCAGTCGCTGATGTGGCTGTCGGTGCCCTCCACTGCTACCTTGCGCCCCGTCAGCAGCTCCAGCAGCACCACTCCAAAGCTGCACGCGCGTGCACAGGGGGGCAAGGGGTGAGTGGGAGTCGGGGGAGGGGATCAAAGGGGAGTGGGCAAAGATGGGCAGGAGCCCCGTCAGCAGCTCCACCAGCACCACTCCGAAGCTGCACAGAGCAGAGCAGGTGGAGACATGAAGGAGATGCCAAAGACGGTAGGAACACGAGGCTATGGCGTGGCTCGGGATAGTCCACATGTCCCTTATATTACAGGTGGAATATATGGGGAAACAAAAACATCTGCTCTTTTAGCCGTTACAAAACAAAATACTCTTTCTGAGACCCTTAAAAACCATTGCAGCAGGCGCACCTGTAGACGTCACTCTTATCCGACACCACGTGGGTGCGGTTGTAGTCCGGGTCCAGGTACCCCGGCAATGAATCAGAAATTACCCTAACAGGGCATTTAGGCGCATACCTGTAGACGTCACTCTTCTCCGACACCACGTGCGTGCGTAGTCCGGATCCAGGTACCCCGGGGTGCCTGCCACGCGCGTGCGCTCGTCCCCCCCGTTAGCGTGGCTGAGCAGCTTTAGCAGCCCAAAGTCGGCGATTTTTGCCTGGCTGTGCTCGCCCACGAGGATGTTGCCCGGCTTGAGGTCACGGTGGATGATGGGCACTGTGAAGCTGTGCAGGTAGGCCACTCCATCAGCTGCCCCCGCTGCTAGTTTGAGCCTCTGCTGGAGAGACAACGGGGCTGGGGACAGGAGAGAGATTGGTTGGACGAGCGAGAGGAAGATGAGAGTGAGAAAAGAGGGGGAGAGCGTTAAGGGAGAAAATTGAGCAGCCCGAATTCGGCGATCTTGGCGAGGCTTTGCTCCCCCACGAGGATGTTTCCCGGCTTGAGGTCGCGGTGGATGATGGGCGTCGTGAAGCTGTGCAGGTAGGCCACCCCATCTGCTGCCCCCGCTGCCAGCTTCAGCCTCTGCTGCAAGGTCAGCGGGGCTGCGAGAGAAGGAGACCGGTTGGAAGAGAGGACGACGAGAGGGAAAAGAGAGGGGGAAATGCAAGAAGGGGGTACAGAAATGGGAACTTTGGAGCATGGATAGGGGATCGGGCAGCGGAAATAGAAGGATAGCTGTGCCGCAAAGCGAGGGGAGGGGGGGCATGAAGAGGAGGTGAAGAGCTTGTCAAGGTGTGATACGGTGCATTGACATGACAAGGCACACAGAAAGAGGAAAGCAGTTGTTGAAGGGGGAAAGGGGACATGGTACGAGGGGATCCACAATTTGAGTGTTAGATGTGGTGCTTGAGGTCCCTTGCAGCACATGCCTCCAAACGGCCAGACAAGCAGCAGGGCAATGCACCGCATGCAACCGGGGAGCAGCAGGGCAACGCACAGCATGCAACCAGGGAGCAGCTGGTATTCCGATGTCTGGGGGTGTAACTCACTCTTGGTGAGGTGGATGTGGTGCTTGAGGTCCCCGTTTGGCACATACTCGTACACCAACACCTGCTCCTGCCGCCCGCTCTCCACGCTCTGGTGTAGGCAGAAGCCCAGCAGCCTCACCACATTCTCATGCCTCAGCGACGCCATCGCCCGCACCTGCCACGCGCAGGGGGGCAAGGGGAAGGGTGACGGTAAGCGAGCTTAGAAAAAAGGGTGTGGTGATAATCCAGGCTTGTTCAGGGAAATTTTGGATTTGTTGTTTGGGAATTATCAATAGTAGAAAGCGATCTGTAGTGAACAACAAAGTACAGGACGTCCTTGTGCAGCAATGACAGGAAGGTGTTGTGCCAACGCACGATCATCGCACTCCCATTCAACCTACAAGACTGCTCAGCTTTGGAATTTTGGGGGGGGAAAGGGGGGGGGGGGGGGGGGGGGGGGGGGGGGGGGGGTCAACATGTCTTCATGAACCTTCAAAGTTTCGAAAATTTTGAAGCAGTTAACAAGGCATGGCAACATTTAAGTTTCAAGACTTATGGCATCCCGGAAGTGTGTGTTACTAATTTTTTGTAACACCCGAGTTCACCATTTCGGCTGCTGACTCATGTACCGAACTCTGAGTGGTCTAAAAATTGGTGTGGCAGTCATTTGCCGCGTTTTGCAAGTGGTCACCAAGTTTCATGACAACCCAGCATCGGAGCAGCTGTCGAAAGACATTGCTCCGTTGTTATGGTGCACTGTTGGTAGCATTTCTCTTGCCACTCTTTCAATTCTGTCATGCCAATGGAGCAGGGACAGAGAAGAAAACATAAAGTATAGGTGGTCAAGTGGATCTCTACCACCTTCCTTTTGAGAAGCGTGGTCTTCTTGGAAGCAGCTTGCAAGAGGGTGCAAGTGGGAAGACAAGCTGACTCATGGTTGACTTGACTCATTGTTGGTAGCCTTAAGTACAGTATTGAACAACTAAGCGTGGTTGTTTTTGCTGACCTAGCTAGGACGTTTCCCATCCTTCTCTAGCCTTTCTCCCCTAAATCTCAACCTTCTCTGAATTCCCAGGATGATCCCAACCTCTTATGGAACTACATGTTTTCAGTCAAGCTTACGTTTTTTGCTCACTGCGGAACACGTACACCATTGATAAAAGCAACCAATATACCGTTGAAAAACAGACACCTACAGCTAACTGCTTTCCAAGTTTCAGCATCGTACTTTATTGGAGCTGATTGTGTCGGCGTTTTGAACAGAGGTGGTTCCGAACAGATCAGATTCTGCTTAGACGATTTGATGGACATCCGCGACCCCTAAGTGAACTCTAGACTATAACAGAAGGAAATGGAAGACATGAGATAACTGACTCACATCCAAACAAGAAGCTGAAATTTAATGCCTAATCATGCTTGAAGAGCAACAGAGGAAGCAGGCCTCGGGGGACATACAGTAGCATGCCTCGTAGATGCTTCATTACATCCTCTCCGTTCCACATAAGCCTCGATGGACCCATTCCCCCCACCTCATTCTCAAAGTCGTTGGACATGAGGCTGATGCGCTTGACGGCCCACAGCTCGCCGGTGGGTGACACGCCCTTGTAGACCGTGGCGAAGCCCCCCTTCCCCAGCACGTTGGCGCCCGCCGAGTTGTCGGTGGCTCGTAGGATGTCGGCCATGCTGAACTCCCTACACACATCCAGGCCGGCCCACGTCCCTGGTGGATGGAGCAAGCATGCATGTGAAGATTATGGGAGAATGAGAGCATAAGGGACAACGATTAGAGACAGAACGGGGGACAGCAGAATGTCAGCCATGCTCAACTCCCTACACACGTCCAGGCCGGCCCACCTCCCTGGTGGATGGAGCATGGCATGCGTGTGAAGATTATGAGAGAACGTGAGAGGGAATAAGAGAGAGAATGTAAGACAACATAAGAGACAACACTGGAGACATAACGAGGTGTCAGAATCGCAAAATCAAAGGAGACAACAAAAGAGGCATAGTGGACGAGGGAGTAAAGGAGGAGAGGAAGAAGGGCCGGGCGGGGGGGTGCGGGAGGGGGAGGGAGTGAGGGAGGGACGAGGGGGGCAAGGGAAAGTGGGAGCAAGAGAAAGTGGGAGGAAGGGAAAGTGGGAGGGAGGGAAGCGGGATGGGAGGGAGCGAGAGTGGGAGGGAGCGAAAGTGGGAGGGAGGGAACGTGGAAAGAAGGAACTGACTGCGCTGTTTGGGCCAGATCACAGCGATGACGAGAGCGAGGAGGAGCGCAAGAGCAGCCGCAGAGCCCACAGCGAGGTGGACAGTGCTGGAGGGGATAGGTCGAGTCGAGAATGTTGGGGGGGTTAAGGAAATCATGCACAGAAGATGGAGGACGAGAGCGGTTCTCTTCGTGCATGAAGCATGCACGCTCTCCTTGTGTCCCACCCTGTCCATTCCTTTTCTGGGAACGTGTGGCTGGAATCTAATGGTTTCATGTCTTGAAGATCACCTCCCATGTGGTCAAATTCACTGTGCCCTCTAGACACAGGCTGTAGACACAAGCTTTGTGCGTGCTGAGATCAAGAGGCAGCAGAGGGTGACCATGCACATGCAATGCAATGAGAACGTTATTCGGAAGCCACCTCAAGCCCTCAGTGTGAGAGTTTGCTCGTTTGTACTCCCCTAGAAGACCATAGACAACACACCACGTGCCAAGCACAAATATATGCCAGATACATGATTTGCATGCGGTATGTACCACATGGGAGATACGCCATATGCTAAATGTCTCGGCCGCATCATGCACCTCACCCCACAGCACCCTCAGCGCAAATACATACATGAGGAGGGGGGCGGGGGCGGGCGAGCACACGTTGGTCCAGAGCTGCCGTTTACCGCCACGTGGCCCTCCTCACACTCACACACGAACCCCACCTCCCCCGCCCCCATCGCCTGCACCGGCACACACACTCCGTGCCCATCGCACGGCCCCAGTTCCTCCGACAGGCTGCAGAAGCCACGGCACTCCGCAGCGCTGCGCTGCGTCTCATTCGCCATGCAGCTCTGCTGCTCGCCCAAACTAAAGCAGTTGCCCCGAAGGCTCGCTTGGCCTTGTTTGTTGGCAGCTGAGCGTTCGAAGGCAAGAATTGTAAAATCGTTGAATAAACAGCGGCCACTTCCGCCATTTGTGAGGCTAACCAGATCCAAAGCACGGGTTTGGTTGATTGCCGAGGGGCAGAACTGACAGCCATCAGCATAGAGCATGGGATTGCCGTAGAAGAAGTTGCCTGCAATGTTGAGCAGCGCACCCCTGTTGGGAATCATGCTGCGGAAGTTGGTGTTCATCGGGATGTAGAAGCTGTTGTTGCTGATGTCACTGAGGGTGGTGGCGTTAGGGATGGGGAATGAATGACCCAAGAATGAGGTGTGTATGGCATGAGGTGTGTATGGCATGAGGTGTGTTTGGCATGAGGTGTGTATGGCATGAGGTGTGTATGGCATGAGGTGTGTATGGCATGAGGTGTGTATGGCATGAGGTGTGTATGGCATGAGGTGTGTATGGCATGAGGTGTGTATGGCATGAGGTGTGTATGGCATGAGGTGTGTATGGCATGAGGTGTGTATGGCATGAGGTGTGTATGGCATGAGGTGTGTATGGCATGAGGTGTGTATGGCATGAGGTGTGTATGGCATGAGGTGTGAATGGCATGAGGTGTGTATGGCATGAGGTGTGTATGGCATGAGGTGTGTATGGCATGAGGTGTGTATGGCATGAGGCGTGTTTGGCATGAGGTGTGTTTGGCATGAGGTGTGTATGGCATGAGGTGTGTATGGCATGAGGTGTGTATGGCATGAGGTGTGTATGGCATGAGGTGTGTATGGCATGAGGTGTGTATGGCATGAGGTGTGTATGGCATGAGGTGTGTTTGGAATGAGGTGTGTATGGCATGAGGTGTGTTTGGAATGAGGTGTGTATGGCATGAGGTGTGTTTGGAATGAGGTGTGTATGGCATGAGGTGTGTATGGTATGAGGTGTGTATGGCATGAGGTGTGTATGGCATGAGGTGTGTATGGCATGAGGTGTGTATGGTATGAGGTGTGTATGGCATGAGGTGTGTATGGCATGAGGTGTGTATGGCATGAGGTGTGTATGGCATGAGGTGTGTATGGCATGGGGTGTGTATGGCATGAGGTGTGTATGGCATGAGGTGTGTATGGCATGAGGTGTGTATGGCATGAGGTGTGTATGGCATGAGGTGTGAATGGCATGAGGTGTGTATGGCATGAGGTGTGTATGGCATGAGGTGTGTATGGCATGTTTGACCCTCTGCCATGCTGGTTTTGAGCAGAACAGCTCAAGGCTCCAGCCAGCTGGGCTGCTGTGAACAAACATGTTCCAAGATTATCACACGAACACAAAAAAAACACAAACATTCAAGCGCCATGCGGTGCAAGCAGTGCTCACATGCGGTGCAAGCAGTGTTGATACAGACACGAGGGGAACCGTAGAAGCGGTTGTTATGGAGGAAGCTGAGGGGGGTGGGAAGGAGAACGGTCCATGCTGCTTGAGGAGGAATATCAAGCAATTGCAATGGAGGAACCTGAGGGGGGTATGACAATTGATTGATGGGACGCTCTTGAAACTGCAACGCAGAATTGACCCGTGGTGAAGTAAAATGGCGAAGGGGTT